CGGAAAAGGGTACTCGCGCAAAGAACGCGCGCGATGGAAAATTTCACCGGGCGTCGTCAAACGCCACGCACCCCTGTCTCCCGCGCCCCTCTGCCATTGATCTAAAGCGACCAGCGCGAACTTGCTCGCAGTGATCCGCGTTTTCGCCATTTAACGACGCTGCAGCGCAAAAGAGGGATCGCGGAAAAAAGCCGGCTGCGATGCCGAACCGTCGCATCGACGACGAATAAGGGGGGTGCGATGCTTTTTCAACGAACCACGATTCATGCTAATCTCTTCTTCCATTGAAAGTGTTTTCGCGACACATGAAATACCGGTGAATATTATAAAACCGTGAAACTGTGGGGTAACTAATTAAAAAAATCTGTCATAATTACGAAAGAAGAAATAGCGCGACATCGCATCGCGACGAGCAATAGCGTATTTTCTCGAAAGCCATAACGGAAAATAGCATTGAAGAATTACTTGCTGGTACAGGTACGATATAAAATATAGAGAATTTGCATTAGGCTACGCCTCCTAGGCTAGTGTTTCGGAAATATATGTGCTTCTTTAGTTAGAAATGCGATTGACCGCATAGAGTTGTAACTTTTTGACGTAACCGAAGGTGTGCGATGGAAATCTATTAATCTAAAGTGTCGTCGGAACGACGTTGCATTTTTGTTCTTTCCAAGCTCGTTCTCGTGTCTCTCGACTTGGTCGACGCGATTCATTCGTTCTTGCGTTCGGCCCCCGTTTGATTTTCGCGGGAAGCATCCCAGGGGTTTAAGCTCGATCCAGTCGCGCCGACAGTTACAAACGACGCGTCCTATAACTGTCGGCGACCGGGGATCCCGGAGCTCCTTCGAAATTCGTGGCGCCGCATAATCGATACCGGGCCGATTATTAATTGGAATCACCGGAGACTGCGTCGCCCGTGGAACGTTCGACGTTCGTTCCCAGTCCGATCGCGGGTCCGGACAGTTCGAGGATCGTATTGTCGACACATGCAATCTCGACTCGTAAGGACCTCGCAGCAGGAGTTGACGCGGAGGCGGGATTGAATCTTGTCGACAGAACCGATTTCGCTTTCGGCGTTGTCTCGTGAAACGATTTCAGGTTATTTCCTATCACCGATTCTCCCCTGCTCCCGGTCGCGCCGGCGAACGAGGGAAAGAGGGACGGCGCAGATACGGGAGCAGAGAGAGGGAATATAAGCTGGTGACTCGATCCCGCGCCGACAGATCTGCCGGGATACGAATTTACTTGGAACTAAGAGGGTGCTCGTCCTCCTCGTACTTCACTTTTTCGTCGGCCGGTCGCGCGATATCCAATATAAATCGGCGCGCTTCGATAAAGGCTATATTCGCCTTTATGAAATAACCCCGGCGAATCGACGAATCGACGATGCTACCCAACGTTCTCGAATTAACGGCGACCGAGACGCTTTGAAAGGCCGAGCGCCGCGGATCTTCGCGCCACCCTTCCGCGGAGCGGAGCCCTTCGAGATCCAGGCGACGAGGCGGTTCGTCGCGCCCCTTCCCGCGTGTTTCGAGATATCCGACGATCCTCCCGTCACCGAGCTCCCTCGCTCTCTTCTAATCCCCTTTCGTTTCAGCCGTATCAAGTGGTATTTGTATTTACTTTCGCCGGAACGGGTTGTTACGCGTCTCGACGGCACTCCAATTATTTGAAGTCCCGGGGACAAAAACCGGAAGACCGAGGCGCGCCGGAGTACGGGTGGATCATTGATTCTTCGCTGTCTCGTTCGGTATCTTCTCGATACGTTTCTATCGGGGCCCGCAGTTTTTGTTCGTTACCCCGCGGAGTTTCCGCATACTTCGGATATCGAGGCGGAGCCCTGGCCTCGGTCTAAGAAACTCTTCCAGGGGCCATTCCGGACCAGTTTAGTGGCTCGTTTTTCTCGATCCGGTAACAATGCCACCGGCGGAGATTCATGGCCCGCCCCAGGAAAAGGG